TTGCAACATGTTTGCTCATTCAATGAGAGAACATGTTGAAAACTTGTATGCATTTCACAAAGACAAGATTTGTCGGTAAAAATGACACTCGTGCTCATCTGTCTTTTGAATATTGAACACACACAATAGAGCTATATAATGTGTTACTTTGATTCAGTTTGCAATTTGCATTGCAAAACTGAGCCGGTAAAACATCTTCAAGGAAAAAAAAAACTTGGTGGCGAAGACACTGTAATGGTTTTTTACAAATTTACTTTATATATATTTAGAAACAAAGTTTAGGCAAAAATCCATTTTTTGCCAGTCCAGTTGATCAGGCCGATAACTTTTCCAAGAAGCTAGACAGTATAATGTTCTGATAAAAAAAAATGTAGTGATTAGGCTAGCAGTTTTCTTCTATGATACAAAAATATTTAAAAAGTGTTCATAGTCATCCTGATTGATAATAACTTATAAGGTTGCAACATTATGTTGCAAACTTGTTGATTACATGTTGTAAACTTGTGCAAAGTAGTTTTTGAACATGTTAGTAAAAAAAACTAGTTTGCAACATTAATATTGTCTTACCAACTTTGAATAACTCAATTGTCATAATTTTTACACAGATTTTTTTTTTGTCAAAGATGTTCTGAACATGTTTTTAATTTAGAGCAATTAATTAACATCATTTATAGTTGATGGAGTCCCTTTTTGCACTATAGGTAAAATGTGCTAGTAGACTAGTAGTAAAACATTTGGCTCGCAACCAGAAGGTTGGGGTTCAAATTACTTCTGCTGAAATTCTGTTCAAATTACTTCTGTCTTCTGTCTCAATCTATTTCTCCACACAGCGCCTTTGTTTAAAAATTTTAGTTGTTAATGTTGTTTGTTAGTAAAAATGGTAATGTTAAGGATTGAGACAAAATATTTTTAAAAAATGAGTTGCTCCCTTGACTGAAATGGTCATTGGAGCAATAGGGAGGTGAATTTATGAAATTAAAAAAAAAAATTATTGTACTCATACAATTATAAAAATTTGGTATTTTGATCGATTTTTAAAAAAATCCAATAAAACCCAAAAAAACCCATTTGGGTTGGGTTTTTATTAAAAAACCCTGGGTTTTTTCCAACCCTGCTATACTTATTATTATTAGTCATAAAATTTATATTATTGCTACTGCTACTACTTCTACTACTACTACTACTACTACTACTACTACTACTACTACTACTACTACTACTACTACTACTTCTACTACTACTATTATCATTATTATTAAAACTGTTGTTATCATTATATTTTTGTTATTATTGTTATATTTAGTATCATTGTTTATATTTAGTATCATGTATGTATGTATATATATATATATATATATATATATATATATATATATATATATATATATATATAAATGCAAGATATTATTATTAGTCATAAAATTTATATTATTGCTACTGCTACTACTTCTACTACTACTACTACTACTACTACTACTACTACTACTACTACTATTATCGTTATTATTATTATTATTAAAACTGTTGTTATCATTATATTTTTGTTATTATTGTTATATTTAGTATCATTGTTTATATTTAGTATCATGTATGTATGTATATATATATATATATATATATATATATATATATATATATATATATATATATATATATATATATATATATATATATATATATATATATAAATGCAAGATAAATTTTTTTTAGTTAAGTTTCAAGGTAGTTTAATGTAGATAAATTTCTATTTTGAACTGCGGATATTTTGTATGTAAATACACAAATACTGTTTATATATACCAAGTGTACCCATATGAAGTGAGTGCTTTCTACACATTTTGTAGGAATCGAAGTGTTGCTCAGCCAATGCATGTCTCATTGATAACAAAAAAAAATTATTTAGAAAAAGGCTAAGTCTGGTGAATATGGCGAGGTAGCAGCTCTTAGACAAGTACTTTGATTGTACCCTAAACTGGTTTTGCTTTATGCACAGGTGCATTATTGTGTAACAAAATTACTTTTCCTTGTCAATGTTGATGGTTATCTAAAAATAGCGTATGATTTTGTTTTAGGATTCTTAAAACAAATCCATTTTTCATAACCAGTAACAATTTGATACAAAACTGATTTTCTTTTATGTCTTTGAAGCGAAATTTTGCAAGTGTTTTTTCAGTTTTCCATCTGCTTTTTATTCAATTTATTTTCCACATATTTGAATCTTTCTTGTAACTTTTAAACAGTCAGACATTGTTTATTGTGCAAAATTTTACATTGCTGCCATTTGCTTTAGAATCAAATTATAATTTTCATCCAATATTGTTTCTGATTCGACATCATCAAACTTTTTTGGTAGTCTTTCATACTCTTCATTTCTTACATAAAAATCATTATTTCTGAACTGACGAAACCATTATTTCCATGTTACTTCTGATCAAGCATGATCACCATATGACTCATAAGCATTTGATGCACCTCTGCAGCACTTTTTCTTCAAATGTAAACAAAAAATAATGTATTTTGCAAGTCATCGCTTTCTGGCAAAAAAAATTCATCATTTTTAATACGGTAAAAAAATATGTTGTTTATTCAATGGCTTGATGTATAATAAATTTAATTGTTTAATGTAAAATAAATAATATCTTTGGCAGATGTTATACCAACCAAACGAAAAAAAAATTAATGCTTGTTCACAACAAATATTCTTATTTTAAAACTCACTTCATACTGGTGTGCATTGCATATTTTATATATATATATATATATATATATATATATATATATATATATATATATATATATATATATATATATATATGTATATGTATATATATATATCTATATATATATATATATATATATATACAGTAGTGGACTGGCCCCTTTTAATATATATAAACGGTGGGCCCCTTTAAATAAGTAATATATATATATATATATATATATATATATATATATATATATATATATATATATATATATATATATATATATATATATATATATCCTGATGCCACTAGTTGCGTTCTACCTGATATAGCCGTCAAACAGGTTGATCTATTGCTCGACATTCGTATCACT